AAAAAAAAAAAAATAGGTCTGCCCCCAAGATGGGCACCTTGCAGGCTGGTGGCTTTGTCTTTCATACTTGACTGACGATTGGTTTCCAAGGATTTTAATTTAGTCAAACAGGCTCCACAAGGCAAACAGTCCAAGCAGCCGATATCCTGAGCAGAGGCTAATCTGATGGTCTTGGTGTCCGTACATTCACGGCCGTCATGTGTGGCCAGCCTGCAGTCACGTGGCACCGGAGGGCAGCTGTATGAACAGGCCCCTTGCAGGTCCTCACACGACGCGGCCAGAGATCGAGTTGCACATACAGGAGAAGGAGAGCATGAGGGCCCACTGGAGACGGAAACCCTGTTGTACACGAAAGGCCTGTGTAGGGAGAACACATTCTGTATTCGGGGCCTGTGTTCGTAGAAAGCTCGGTGTCGGCCACTGTTGCACAATCACCACTCTTGCTTACCTGCTTGTTACATAAATACATAAGATTCTCTCTCTCCCTCTCCCACTCCCTTGCTCTCATGCGCTTTCTCTCACTCTCTCTTAAAAAAAAAAAAAAGCCACATAATCAAAAGGCATTTCTGTGTTCACGGCATTGTGTGTTCTCTGCGTGACAGGTGTCTCTGGGAGGAACAGTCAGTACTTCTGGTTCAGGCCCAGGCTCCACGTTAATCAGCTGGGGAGGTCAATTTTTGCCTTTGGGCCTTGGTTTCCTCAACTGAAAACTGACTGGTTTTTAGCCCCCCATCCTCTTCTGGCTCCAGCCTCCTGTGAGTTGCTGGGAACACACATTAAAGAACCACAGGCTGTAGGTAAAATGGGGAACACAGAGCCTGGCACAGAGCCAGGGATGTCAGTATTGTTCATGATAGGAATAATCAGCAATATTTAGTTAGGGCAGAGATTCTCACTCTGGCTGTGACAAAGGCCACATCTGGCCACTGGGGCAAGTGCCCCCAGCAAATTGCAAGGCTGGAACTTGTCCAGTATGCCTCCCTCGTGAAGCCTCGTCTCACCCACCCAGCCATCCAGCGCTCAGAGTCCAGGGAACCCCCTTCCCTCTCTGCCTCCCTCTGACCCCTTCTTTGAGAGTCTCCCTCCCTCTCACCCCTGGTCACTGGCTAAGCCCATCTCACTCTTTACCGTCAGTGAGACCTACAGAACCACTTGCTGTATTAAAGCTGAAAGCGATTGGCATGAACCCGTAACCGGGTTTCAGGCAAAGCTGACAGGAAGCGGGGAGAAGTGGCGGGATGGGTAAGTCCCCAGGGCTTCATGGCGCAGCTGTGCTTGGGCTGAGCCCTTGACTCACCTTCCACAGCGCCCTGACCTCTGGGGTGGAAACTGGCATAGTTGGGTCCGTGTCACGTGTCACAGGGCAGGTTACAAATAGCACGGGGATTGGCAAACCCATCCTGAAACTCCTGGTTCAAGGGCAGGAAAGTTACCGCTTTAATTGCTGCCGACCATTAACAACTGAGAACCGGAAGAGGGGTTCTAAGGCAAAGAGCGTAGGTGTGAGTGCGGAAGGGACAGAGCTGACCTGCCAAGGGCCTGCTTCAGTCTTGGAGCGAGGACCTCATGCCTGAATAGCTCAGGTATGGAGCACCTTGTCTCACATTCTAAACAGAGCGCACGTTTCAGTGACTTGGTGTCTCCATAACGCGTTCGCGGTCGGGGAGCTGGCAGCGGGGGACGCGCTCCAGTGACCAGCCATCAAGGTCTCCGGAGCGGCAGGAGGGCCACCCGCCGCCAGGTAGACCGGTCCCGGACAGCGTCGTGGCCGAAAGCGCAGCCTCAGGAACGCGGGGCCCGATCCCGCCTGGGCCCCGGCCACATCGGAAAGGGGGCCAGGGGCTTCCCCCGCCTCAACTCTGCGCCCTGAGCGCCCAAAGGATCCGGTTCCCTTCCTGCTGCCTGGATCTCGGCCCGCGCGGCGCGCAGTTCGGGCAGCCAAGAGGAGAACCTCAGCTCGCCTCCCCCTACCTCGCACGGCTGCGGGCCAGGGAGGTGGCGGGGGTGCCCATTTTCCCCGGATTCCTCGCGCGCACGGTCACGGGCGAAGCGGCCACATCTGCCAGCCTTGGGCTCCGAGGCCGCCCCTCGTCACCCACTGCCGCGCCGGGCGCGCCTCCGGCCCCGCAGGGCAGCACCCGGTGGCGGCCAGCTCCCGCCAGTCCGCCCTGCCCGGCGTGCCCCCGCCGCCGCGCCCTCTCTGGCACCGCCTCCTTCTGTAAATACAGTGGCGGCCCGCCCTCCGCAACCGGACGCGCAGGTGGAAACGGGCGGTGCGGGCCGCCACCGGAGGCCGCGCCCAGCCGGGTGCCCACGGCCAGCGCCGCCCCGCCGAGCGCCCACCCCGAGGCCGGTGCCAGCGCCCGGGACGCGCGCTGGCGCAGGTAGCGCGCACGCAGGACGAAGCCTCAGGTGAGTGCTCCGCGCCCCGCGCTTCTCCGCACTCCCGCGCGGCCAAGTCTTGGTGCGGGGAGCGGCGCGGGCGCGGAGGACCCCGAGCCGAAGCTGCGGGGATGGGAGCCGCAAGCCCAGCCGCTGGGGGCTGTTGTTGCGCTCGGGCTCCCTGAAACCCACGGAAGGATTCCCTATACAAGACTTGGGGCTGGCTTTACCTCGATCCCCAAACGCAGCAGAGCCTTGGGCGTGGTGAGATGCTGATTTGGAATTGTCCTTTGGAAAACAGTGGTGGAGAGGTAGATTTGGCTTTGGGGAAATTAAATGTAGGTTGGTATTTGGAAAGGGTTTAATTTTCTGTTAGTGTAGATGTTTTTGTGTCCGTTCGTGAATGCGTGTATGAGACAGACAGACAGACTTGACTGCCTACATTATTATGGATGAGGGATTGGTACGTATGGCAGGTGTTTAGTCCACTTGTCCATGGACAAGAGCTACAGATCCAGTTTTAGGCTTACTTTTACTTTACTAGTATTTGGGGAATTCGCCTTAAGACATTTGAAGCCTTGTGACTCGCTTCAGAGTTGAAGGTACCAGGAATTCAGTGAATTCCTGATAGGACTTTATAACAGAGAATCACCCTTATCTCTGGAACCAGCACAAGAGATTACATGATTCAGATTTCTGTTTTTTAAATTAGTTCAATATTTTCTTTAAGTGTTTGTCTCAGCATATTCCATCTTCACAAATACAGTTTGCCCAGGTTTAAAATGGAAGCTTATTTCCCTCCTAGATTTCCTTCTTTCTCCAGCTTCCTTCTGATTCGATTGTACTTTTTCCTGGAAAAGTACTTCCTAGTATAAGACCAGCTATTTCTTTTCTTTACTTAAATTGACCCTCCTTGGACACGACTTGGGTTTGTCAGGACGGCCTTGGCTTTACAGCCTCAATCTTGAGCTCCTTCATGGGATCATGGATACAAATGGTACAAAATATTTTAAGTTTTCTTTCCTTGAGCCAGTAAAAATGGTCTTCACACTTGGGTTGTCTTTTCCACTGCCCCAACTTGAAGGGTCCTGGTAAAATACTCCACTCATGAGAGTAAGACAAGATAACTAAGATGATAAAGTCAATCTGCATACACTAGACAACTATTAACAATGGATTCGAGTCCACTTCATATATGATGATACCAGCAGAGGGCTTGGGTAACCTTGTGGGGAGGTGCTTTCCCACTTGATCTCACTTACACTCTCCGAGAGTCCAGAGTCAAGTGCTGTTGCTGTTTCATGCTTTTTTAACTGGTGATTTTATCGGCTGCTTATTTTTAACGGAGCCTAAACCTTTTTGTGGAAGTGAGAGGCACCTTGGAGGAGGGTACGTGAGAGGCCACCTGCACACCTGGGAGACAAGGCTCCTCCTGACGCTCTGTGCTAGACTCCCCTGGGTCACCCCGGCCTAGTCAGCCGGGCCCCCGAGTTCCAGTGCCTGTGTGAGAACTCAAAAATCACATTTTGACAGAGTTAACTTAAAATCCCCCAAACTCACTGTGTTCCTGAACTGCCTTCCCCTTCAGTGGAAACGACTGAATTGGGCCTCCTGCAGGTGTCCTGGCCTTAGAAGAAGGCGGCGGAATGGAAAGTTGCTGCAGTCTGAAATAGGAAATGGAAAGTTAGTTACTGAACAAAAATTTATTGACTCGGAAATGCTCAGAGCAGCTGTGATGAAACGTGGGATGTCTGTAAATCAGAAATAATCCCTGTGGTTCTTCCCTTACTCACCACTGTTTTGGGGGTTGTTTGTTTTGTTTTGTTTTGTTTTGCCCGGGGAAGTGAGTTTGTAAGACTCATAACAGGAAAAGCCACACCCCGTTACTTCTCTTGTATGGGTTTTGTTTTTTTTAGATAATCTTCGGTGCATGGTAATTGCATTTCCTCTTCTTGAATATCTTCACAAAATTTCATATTCAGGAGTTTCTGAATGCCAGTGCTTCTGACTCATAAACCAACTCATTGTTCACCAGTGTATCACTTGCATCAAGTTCTGTCCCCTATGATTTCATCCTGGAGTGATTTCTGAAATGGCCAGGACAGGCCAGGAACACCTGTGCCCACTTTAATTTGGTGTTTGGTTGTATTTTCAGAGCTGTTGAAACCACTGGAGGGAAGGAAATCCATCCTGCCTGGTTCTGGGGAAGGGGCTTCTTCTGGCCATGTCTCCTGTAGCTGCTGCTGAGCCAGACGGGGTCCAGCGAGACAGGCGTGTCAGCAAGCTCATTTTCTTCCTTTTTGTATTTGGTGCCATCCTGTTGTGTGTGGGAGTCCTGCTCTCCATCTTTGGGTTCCAGGCATGCCAGTACAAAATCTTCCCAGACTGCAGCATGGTGCTGAAGGTCGCTGGGCCTGCCTGTGCCGCGGCTGGGCTTGGGGCTGTGATCCTGGCCCGCTCGCGGGCACGACTTCAGCTCCGTGAGGGGCGCCTGCGGGGCAGTCAGGCGGACCCCGACCGAGCCTTCATCTGTGGAGAGAGCCGCCAGTTTGCCCAGTGCCTCATCTTCGGGTTTCTGTTCTTGACGAGTGGCATGCTCATCAGCATTCTGGGCATTTGGGTCCCCGGCTGTGGTTCAGACTGGGCGCAGGAACCCCTGAATGAGACAGACACTGCCGACGTGGAGCCCCAGATCTGTGGATTCCTGTCCCTGCAGATCATGGGGCCGTTGATTGTACTCATGGGACTGTGTTTCTTTGTGGTTGCCCACGTTAAGAGAAACAACTTGAATGAGGGCCAGGATGCCTCCGAAAGTGAAGACAGACAGACGCAGAGCACGGAGCCCGTCCATGTCACTGTAGGTACGTAGCTGTCGTTCCTGGGCACCCTCACATCACGGTGGCTGTTGCGTCAGGGCTTTGCTGGGTTGTCCTCGGGTCTGGCCTAGGTTCTCCCTTTTCTCTGTCTCTCTTACACACCCATGCACGCATGCACATGCACACGCGTGCGCGCGTGCGCACACACACACACACACACACACGGTGCTGCTGCTGTGCTAAGCCCTGTAAGAATCCTTGTGCACATCATTTCCTCCCAGCAATTCCTTGTGATCAAGCAAAAGCTTTGGGACATTAAGTCATGACCTTGACTGAGGTCACAGAGCAAATTAGAAGGAAAGTGAGAGAAAGTGCTAGCATAGCCTGGGAGCCTTCTGTCACGTTAGAGACCCGCCAAGTGACGTTGAAAGCTGGGGCACTTTGTGTTGGACGTGTAGATTCTCATCCCTGGCTGTCACCGGCTGGCTGTCCTTGGTAAGTCCTTAACCCCTTCTGGCCTGAGTTTATGCATCTATAAAATGAGCATTGCATTGCTAAGATCCCTCCCAGCACTAACATTCTAGGATTCTGTCTGCCCCAAGTCCGTAGATCTGTGTTTTGAGGGGGCTTTCCACACTGTTTCCCACATTGTTCTCTATTTTCTGTAACCTTATCCTTGGCTTCAGGGTGGAGGCGAAGTTTGGAAATAGTGGCACCAACACTGATAAAGCATGATCGCACTTGTCACTTATTTCCCCCATGGAATGCCGAGAAACGACGTTTGTGTTCTCTGGGTTCTGCAGAAGGGATGGATTACCGTTTCCTGGAGTCAGCCCCTATAGCACCACTTCCGTAGCTTTGGCCTCAGTTTCACACAACCAAGGGGAAACCCCGCTGCTGCTCATTTTTGAAAATCACTTTGTTGTTTCAGTCCCCTACTTTTGAAAGGGTAAAGCTCTGAAGCCATCGCTGTGACATCTAAAAGGCTAGGCACAGAGCATTATGGGACAGAAACCCCGGAGGGAAGAGAGGAGGAGTGTGGTGAAAGGGATGTTTCTCATGGTTGGGGCTGTCTGCTGGAGGAAGTGCTACTCACTGGGGGAAATCCCTGGCCTTCCAGCCTTGCGTGGCCCCGGCCTTGGCGAGCAAGGGCAGATGGATTTACAGGCCAATCCTGGAGCCGCGGGTGAAACTCCCAGGCTACTATTTGTGTATTTATATATTTACGGTGACCACACCAATATCAGTTATATATTAATAATAGCTAACACAGATATGGGGCTCATTCCAGGGCCGTATACCCATCCAAGTGCCCTTCAAGGGCCTACTCTGTCAAAGCTGTTCACACCTACAACAACCCTATGAGGCAGATACTCTTAGTATCTCTGTGTTAGGGATGAAGAAACTGAGGCACAGGGATATCACATAACTTGCCAAGGTCACAGACTAGCAAGTGGCAGGGCCGGGCTCCAAACCCAGGCAGGGGGCACGCATGGACTCTGGCCCCCGCGGAGCACCAGGGAGGGCCTCTGGGCACATGGCTGTGATTCTGTTTCAGCTGGTTTCATCCTTCCCCAAGTGTTGTGGGTAGCTGTTACATGACTAAAGGGCTTGCCTTCCGTTATAGATGTGCTCAGGCCTTTTGGGGAATGCAGTGGGGACAAGTAAATACACTCACTTGATGCTCATAGTATTCCGCGTAGTTGGGAGCATTTCGACGTGTGCCCTGTGGGTTTACTATCAGAGGGTCTGTGGGGCCCAGCCTCCCTCCCAATGGCTGGAATTGGGGGGCAGCAGAAAGCAGGGCTGCTGGTGCTGGGACATAGTGACTCGGGGTGGGGGGGGGTTCTCCTCCTGATGTTGGCACTCCATCCTCCATCGCTTAAAATCTTTTCCACTTAACCCTTTAAGTGCCATCAAACCTGTGGAAGTCTGGTAGCCTAACTCATTTTTCTCTCCTTTGATATTATGGGATAGGGTTTAAACGTTTAGAAACCGTGCCTGTTAGCCTAATTGATAAGAATCTAGACATTGTCCGTGGTCGCTTCTGCCTATGAGGGACTGGGGTGAAGAGAAGCAGTTCTTGGCTGAGTCCCAGAATTCAGCTGTTCCCAGAATGAAAGCCCCTCCTCCCCAGACACGTGATACCCCCACTGTGGGCACACTCAGCGCTGGGTCCTGAACACACAAGCAGGGGCATGAGACAGCCCCCTCCCTTGAGGGATGTCTGCTGTCAACTCAGAGGACGTCAAGTCCTGCAGGACATAGTGAAAAGGAGGGACGGGACTGCTTTCAGGGAGAGCAGGTCGCAAGGCTCGGGGAGGGAGGGGCGGGCAACTGATGGGCAGAGGCTTGGACGAGCCTCAGACACAGCGGGTGACTGCGAGCACTTCCTTGTTTGCGTTGGAGAGGTGGCTGGCCTGCTCTGGAGGCTTATTCCCAGCTCCTTTGTTCTACACTGTGTAATTAAACAATCGACCTTGCTTCCTCTAACCTACCAAGACCTGTGAAAAAAATTAAATGAGAAGCCCAAGATAACCATTAGCTGTTATCAGATTTAGGTGAGCGCTATCTTAAGCCCTCGTGGTCCTGTGCTTGGAGGAGGAGAGAAAGAGTTAACACATTTTCCGAAGGGCTCCCTCCCCTCTGGGGGAGCCACCGAGGCTGCACGGAGAGGGGCTGCCTGCGGCGAGGGTTTCATCACACATGCAAATCAGGGCTACTGGCTGGCGGCGGCGGCTGGTGCAGAAAGCACCTCTGCGGCTGTGTGTTCCGGCTGTGAGCGTTTGCTCCATGCCCGGCACTGCTGTCCCCGCCACACACCACCCCGGCCCTCCTGCCTGTTCGCTGAGGCAGGAGCGGTTATGGATGGCCTGCAGTTCACCGATGCGGCAGCTGAGGCCGGTGGGGGTCCGATCCCTCGCTCAGGGCCACGCTGGGCCGGTAATTGGCAGATGGCCCGCTGGTTGCGCTCAGGAACCCGGTGCTTACCCAGCCAAGCGTCCGATCCGCTGCCGCCACCTGAAGTCCTCTCCCCTTCGTTCCTCCCGCGCTGTCCTTTGGTGCTGCCAGCTTATCAGAGGCTGCCCTCAAACCGCTACGGAGTGGTGCTGCCATGTGCGTAGAATGTTCTGGGCAACTCACGTGCCGCGTTTTGTATTGGAATTGGACTACCAATGAGGGCTTGCGTCTGGTGTCTGTTTCTCCTCCCCAAAATATGGGATGTATTCTGGAGTGAACAGCAGCTTGTTGGCCTGTGGTCAGAGGCTACAACTGCATGTAAGGAACAGGCACTTTATCTAACTGCTAAGGGTTGACAGTTTAAAACTTCAAGTTGAGAATGAGAAAGGCTTTGCAGCAGGAGGCATCCCAAGGAAGCAAATACTTAAACAGAAATGCTTGAGCTCAGACTTACTAGGAAAATATTGGCCCACTGTTTGAAAAAATTGTGCTGCAATATATGTAACATAAAATTTACCATTTTAAGCATTTTTTAGTGGACAGTGACATTAAGTACATTCGCAGTGTTCTGCAGCCATCCCCACTATCAAGTTCTAGAAGTTTTTCATTATCAAAGAGAAACTGCCCCCGTTAAACACTCACTCGAATCCCCCCAAGCCTCACCCCGGTCCCTGGCAACCTCCATGCTCCCTCTCTGTGAATTTGATAGGCCCACTTTTAAATTCTGGAGTTAGCATAGGGGTTTTGACCTTTTATATTCACGGGCCAAATATATAATTAATTTATTTTATTCTTGCTAATGTGCTTGTCTTCAATGAAATATTGTGTTTCCTTAGGTGATGCCGTGATAATATTCCCACCCCCACCACCACCTTACTTTCCCGAGTCTTCAGCTTCTACAACTCCGAGTCCTGGGGCTAATGGTTTGCTTCCAAATGAAAATCCGCCTTCATATTACAGTATTTTTACCTATGGGTAAGACTTTGCATTTGAACTTCAAGAGTAGGCATGTTTAACTTTCTCAGGCCTGTGCCTGAACTCAGGCCAAATTAGCTTTGTACCATAGTACAGGAATAAACATTACAGTGTATCTTTTTTGCTGACATCGTATCAGAATTACTGCCTTAATATTAAGAATACCTTTTGGGAAACGTTGGGCAGCACATACATTAAAAATTATAAAAGTGGTTATGCTGGGTTAAATACGAAGCCTTCTCCAGGCATCTTCATGTACCCCTGGCAGGGGGGAATCCTCCAAGTGTTTAACACTTTATTAGCCAGACTGAGCACCAGAGCAGGGCTTGGGAGGCCCCCTGCTATGTTAGGCTTTGCCACTTTAGATGAAGGGGAGACGCGGGAGTCCTAGGGGACCTCCAGCAGGTACAGAGGGTTTCAGTATCTCACAGAAGAAGTTGGGTGACTGGCTGATAGCCTGCCCCCTGACCCAACCAAGCTGGGCTTCTCCTCTCAATTTGAAGTTGTTCCCTGGGCCTCAGAGCCTTCTCAGATTGAATGAAGGGAAATCCAAGATTCACACCCCCATCCCCCATGCTCCCCATATGCCACAAATTAGGAGGCATACCTGGGGTCAGATTAAACGCCATCCCTTCAGGCAGAGGGATGCAGTTGAAGGTTTCAGACCTTCATGGAACCAGTGCAGCTCACAATGTGGGAAGGCTGGTGGGGGCAGACCAGTTGGGGGGCTGGCTTCTGTAGACACTGAGAAGTAGGACCTAGGAGACCCGGAGAGAATGCTGGGGATGGGCACAGCCTTACCTGGTCATTCATGTTTTAAGGCACACGTTCTTCTTGAGCTTCAGACAGGGTGGTGGGCCAGAGATCCAGACAGAGACAGGTATAGGAATTGTCCTGCATGGATGAAGGGGAGGTTAGGTTCTGGACATTTGTATAATTCTGTGAGTGAATTTTTGTATTCTTTTCTCCAATGATGAACTTCCCCAAGCCCTAAACAAATGTCTTTTAACTTAAAACAAACTCGTACTTGCTACCCCCACAATTTCTGTGTGCCACGGCCTGGCTTTCCTTGCATTCTCTCAGGTCATTCTCCTGGGTAGCCGAGACAGCAATCTTGTCGTCCCCATTTTACAGTTGAAGAGACCGAGGCTTAGTGAGGTGAAATAACTTGCTCAAGATCGCACAGCTGGAAAGCAGTGGAGGGGCAGTCCAGAGGCATGTCTGCCCGTTGCTAGAACCCACCCCAGTACCCAGTATGCTTTCTAGCCTCCCTTCACGTTTTTGGCTTACTGATTTAATTTTCTCTTCGTATAAGTTTGTCTACCTTATGTTAGCTGTCTCTGAAGAGAAAACAGTAAAGAACAGTAACTGCATGTGAATATTTTGGATGGCAGTGACACGTTCCTACCTCGTGTCTTCTCAATGACAAGGGAAACAGCCACGGGGTGAGACTCTCTTAATGTGACAGTCAGCTCTAAGGAAGGAAAGGGGCAAGAAATCAAGGCGCATCTGTAAGAAATAGAATAGGGAAGAAATTATTCCTTAGACCCTTGCAAATGCTCCTAAACACCTATAATCAAACATTTGAAAAGAACCTCATCCTTACGGTGTGTTACTGTTCTCCTCTCTTCCCTTTCTGTTCTCCCTCCTTTTTAGTAGGACCCCAACTCCTGAGGGCCAAGGCGCGGCCTCCGAGAGAGATCATGAATCTATATACACCATTTCTGGGACTGCTTTGGCCTCTGAGATCTCAATCACTCCTCATCTCTCCTCTGAACTGCCTCCCAGATATGAAGAAAAAGAAATGGCGGTAGCCACAACCTCATCTCCATCTTCTGAGCCTTCCCCACCGTGAACTCTGGACTCCAGTTCCATTTTCTATAAAATTGATCACTGTTTTATTTAATTTGTTTTTTAATAAAAAAAATACAATGGCCTAGGCTCTGTTCTGATTTCAGTGAATGTTCTGGATCAAGCGTGCTCTGGACCACGGGAGACGCCATGTGCCTCCAGCCCGCCCATAAGCTGGTTCTCTCACTGAGACCCGCTACATCTGAAGTGGTGGAGGAAGAAACAAAGGCTCTGAGAGGCTAATTAACTTATTGCAGGTCACACTGCTTCTAAATAGTGAGGCTGGGTTTTGAGCCAATGCCGCTGGGTTCCGGAAGTCGTTACCCTGTGCTGTTCAGAAGCTGACCAGATGCAGTTGTTCATGGTGAGCCTGGTCCATTCTGTTTTCCAATGTTAACTGCTTCTGGGGCAGAGAAACTAGATTACTCTCTTCATTTCTTTATTATTTCTTCTTCCTCGTCTTTTCTTCCCTCTCCCTCTCTTCCTTCTTCCTCCTCTCCTATTCTCCTTTCTTTCTTTCATTTTGCAAGAAGGGAATTAGGCCTTTCACACTGGGGCAGTTTCAGCCCACTGATACCCGGAAGTCTCCTTACGGTGAAGTGACACTTTCAGAAAAGAGATTTCTTGGGCTCCTGGGAAAACTCGATTCCCCTGGAGAGGTCCGGGAAGGACCTCTACGTACTGCTCCGACTGCGTGGACCACCGACTTTGATTCTCATAAGGCTACTGATGAACCAAAGCTTCTGTAGAGTTGGGCAGCATGGTAAGTATTTAATTCTAGATATAACCCAGAAATAATCACTAAGTGTTATCAGTTCTACCTGGGAGAAACTGCCTTTGAGAAAACGTAAATCTATAGTAACAGCACTGTTGATAACACAGTTTGGTGTAGCAAAAATGTGAGCTTTCTGTGCCTTTACACAAGCCATAACCCCTATAAAAATCTGTATTACCCAGCAGTTAAGTGCCTAAAAGCAGAATGTAAGGGCGTTAATGCTCCAGTAGTTTGACCAAAGTAATGACTGATTTCATGGGAATTGCTACTGCAATAAATCCTGGGAAGCCGTCTCTACTAGCAGCACTCATCTGTCTCTGAACTGGACATGCATTGGATTGAACTGCTCTTAAAATTCTGCTGTTTTTTTCTCCTGGAAGGTTAATTATTCACATTTTAAAATTAGAACAAAAGGTAGATTATTACCACTTCCTACTGCTATTATTTGTTTAAAATGATGAAGCTGGGCGCCTGGGTGGCTCAGTCGGTTAAGCGACTGCCTTCGGCTCAGGTCATGATCCTGGAGTCCCGGGATCGAGTCCCGC